TCAGCAGTTCCAGATGACAAGCTAAGAAGAAAAACTCCATGCAAAGGCCGCACAAAATGACTGACAGCCCTAATGGGACTGAAGCCCCGAATTACATACAGCAGAGGCTAAAGAAAGGCAAGCAAGGCTCACAATCTTGGAGTTTCACATGTGAATATTTAAAATGAAGCTAATGCTAAAACGAAAACATAAAAGGAATGTCTCTAGGGATAATTCAAAGCTGTTTATCCCTAAGAGGACAAAATTACTGCTGTAATGCCTTTATAAGTTTACTACACATGAAAGTAGGATTTTAGTTATGGGCTAAGTCTACTTTTTACTATAGTAATATATGTGTGTGTTATAAGTGCTTGATACAATAATTTAATAGTAGTGCAAAAGGGCACTGTTCTACCTTTCCCATCCCATCCTAATCTCTTTCCTCCTCCCATCAGGGCAGCTGCTGTTAACATTTCTGTTTTTTAATTTGGGTTGTTACCACATCTGTAAATAATGAACTTAAATTTCTGTTTGTCGATCTGTCTTTAGACATTAGTGACTTCCCTCCCCAAAGAACTGTTTTTAGTTCTAGTTATTAGTGTTTTAATTTCAGATAATGTACCTGAATTTCTTGTTTCGTTTCATGAAATATCAACCCTATCTCTTGACCTTTCATTTTGTAAAATCAGGAAATAATGGGATCTTGTTTATAGAAACAGGTTTGTGTTTATCTTTTCAGAATATTCTCTATTTAATAAAGTGAGTTGTGCCTTCCTGTGTTCGTCATAGGTCTTCAAGAAGAAAAGCAGAAATATTACAACCATCTCTTGGCAAATGCAAAAAAAGATCTTGAGGTTGAACGACAAACCATAACTCAGTTGAATTTTGAACTTAATGAATTTCGAAGAAAATATGAAGAAACCCAAAAAGAAGTTCAAGATTTAAATAAACTGTTGTGTTCACAGAGAAAGGCAGATGTACAACATCTGGAAGATGATAGGCATAAAACAGAGAAAATACAAAGGCTCAAGGAGGAGAATGATGTTGCTAGGGAAAAACTTGAAGAGGAGAAGAAGAGATCTAAGGAGCTCTTATCTCAGGTGAGCCTAAGCAATAAGGGTTTCCTGATTCATAATTCATTTTTTTTATTGTACTTACAGAAAGTATCTGAGACTATTTTAACCACTAGGAAACAGCAAAGAACAAAACAAATTCCTGACCCCTTCATGGGTGTTCATGTTCAGAAAGAAAACAGACCATAAACAGGTAAACTAAATAAAACAATAATATGACAAAGAGAAATTGGGGGTCAGTGGAGGCCTCACTGAGGAGAGGTATGTGGACAAGGATCTGATGACAGGAAGGAACCAGCAAGATTGAGTGACTTTGGGAATTCTCTCCAGCCAGAGGAAATCACATACACTTTAAAGAGTCTGAGAGAGAAGGGGGTAAGTATGTGTGAGAAGCCAAAAAATGTGAAGTAAAGAGGGAAATCAAAGCTGATACCTAGGCGGGCTCCTTGACTGTGATACAGTGCCCAAGTTCATGTGGCACTGTCCATGTTCTCATACTCACAGCTTTATGCCAGGATGTCTTGGTAATGTTGAAGTTATTGAGTTAGGATTATTAGAGTTGAATAGTACTTCGACAGAAACTCATTAATTTAAATTTTGCTTGACAGCATGGAATGGAAAGAACAGTATTTGTAGTCATACCTCGTCTCTAGTCCAGGATGTGTGGCCTTAGGAAAATCACCTAACTCTTCTGACTTACAGGTTAATCATGTATTAATAATAATTACCACTTCTTGCCTCATAGGGTTTTTGCGAGGGTCAATTGAGAGAATGTAAAAGAACTTTGTAAACTAAAGTGACAGGTAAATTTTTGTGATTGCTACTATTAGAATAATAATTTTGAAAATCTTCTGAAAGTTGAGAGAAGGGGAAAAAATAGTCTTTTGCCTTCTTAATCTTTACTACCCTTACTGCTGCCTACAGGTGCAAGCAATGATATTTATGAAAGCAGAAATGATTGAGAATTTTATTCCAACTCTGGCCATGAAGAAGAGGCACGGCCAGCTTTGTTATCCTACTCAGAAATATTAGTAGATTAGATGTCAGACCTCCAAGAAAGTGGGTATGGCCACTGCAGAGTTCTGTGCTGTTTATCAGTTTTCAGTCTGTGCCTTGAGGAGCTCTCAGCCATGTAGCCATTAAACAACCAGCTAGAATGACTCACTCAGACTAGCAGGTGGTGTTCTGGTTAGAGATGTGAGACTTGTGAGCTGTTCATGCATCCAGGTCAAGCAATAAAAGGTCAGATGTGGCAACATTGTCTGTTTACGCCCTACAGGTCCAGTTTCTTTACACATCTCTGTTAAAGCAGCAAGAGGAACAAACAAGAGTAGCTCTGTTGGAACAACAGGTACTCATTGGGATTGCTTCAACATTCAGTTTAACCCTTAGAAAATGGAATTTTCCCTCATGTTTACGCTATTCTATGAAGAACCATTTGAAAGCTGTGAAAAATGTTTTTTAAAAACCTTATCTGGGCTACCCCAGATAAGATTCTTGTTACTGTTGTTGGGCTAAAACAGATTCTCTGAGGTGAGATGGCAGTTTTCCAGATGGGTAGATGTTTGCCTTAACAAATTTTATTCTTGCCTTAACAAATTTTATTCTTCCTCAAATATCTTTGCTACTCTAGCCTAACAGGAACTCCCTAAGAGGTGTGCCTTATAACTTCAAGCAGAACTCAGAGAGACACCATTTGTTCTCAGAATACAGACCAGAGATTTTTAGTATATTCCAAACCAGGGAATATCTATCTCTTTCTTCCCTTTCCCCCACTTCTCCATTAAAAAAGGAGGAGATACCTATACCTCAAGCATTGGCTTTGCTCCTTGGATCAACTAAATCCTTAACCATAGGCTTCTTTATTTATCAATATCTCACTGCTCAGATGAATTTTTGCTCTGATGGTACAACAGATGTTTGCTTCTTGTGCTAATTAAGAAATGTAAGCGTCCAGTCAAGAGAACGACAGTTTATACTGGCTGTAATTGTCTTGTTCTGGGCATTTCTCCAGATGCAGGCATGTACTTTAGACTTTGAAAATGAAAAACTTGACCGTCAAAATATGCAGCATCAATTGCAAGTAATTCTTAAGGAGCTCCGAAAAGCAAGAAATCAAATCACCCAGTTGGAATCCTTGGTGAGTCTGGAATGGTTAAACTACAACTTATTTTCTTCTTTCTCTTTCTGCTATTTTTCTATTTATATATCAAGCCACTTCCCAAACTAGGAGGATAAGTTTAAAGAACGGCTGTTTCTCAGATCAGTAGGCAGAGCCCCTGCGTCATTTGAGTCAACTGCCCTTAGAGCATGAGTTCAGAGCACTGGAAAGAGGGACATTCTGTGCCTCTTGGTAATGATGATATTACGGGTACTTGGGATCACCCCCACCCACTCCGGGCGGACCCTGTGATTCTAGAGATACTAAAGAGAGCCTGGCTTAGGGGATTGAGGGGGTGAGGGAAGGCAATTGTAAGTCCTGAATGAAAATTGTGTGTTTCTTTTTAAAAAGAAAAAAAAATTCTGTTTTTAGGGATAATGGACTATTACTGTTAATACACTGTTTAGGCATGTTGAGTTAAAGAACATTTTGTGGGTTACCCTGAACACATAATCTTTTAAAACATAAATCTTTTAAATAACATCATTTCTATGAAGAAATGGTTTTTTACTTACCTATTTTCATCTTAGTAATAAGCTTTTGGACCAAACCTGTTGGGGTCTGTATTTGTGAATCCCACTAGTGCATAGTTTATCTATCATCCTAGTACTGCAGAGTATTTGCAGATGGTGAAATGTTACAAATAGAATTCCTCAGTTTTTAGAAGAAAACAATTGTTTTAAAAACATCATTTGTAACTTCCTTATGATTAAAAGACAGAATATATTTTTTGGCTCTATTTTTTAGTATGTTATTGATTTTGACCATTTATAATATTTGAAATTGGAATTTATAATTCATTTCTGTTAATGACTATTTTCGAAAGTATAAGAATCCAGAGTGTATACAAAAGAATCCATACTTCCCCTGTACTTTTCTTTGTGCTCCCGCTATCCAACATCTTCCGAGTATGCCGTAAAATATTCATTTTTAAGCTTTACTGACTATTCTAAATTTCTCAGAAAACATGCAAAAGGAAATTCTCAAAGGTATTATACAATATCTTAGTCATTTCTGTGGACAGCCTGTTTGTTCTGCTAAAATTCTGTACTACTTTTAATTCCACGTAGTTCTTTATTGTTGAAGTACCCCTCTTTTACAAGACTAGCGAATTTTGTCAGCCTTGCACACAGGCCTACCTTTAAATTTGATATTAATACCCAACCCCAGTCCTTCCTGGGTAATTTATAACCACCTCGTTTGTTACCACCATAATACCAATGAGCAGAGATTCAAAAGAAAATCTGTCAGCAGGGCTGAAGTTGGACCATCTTTGGAGCAGTACAACTATTGAACAGTAGGCCTATATACAGACAGTGTTCATTTGACATTTTTTTTTCAGAAGCAACTTCGTGAGCTTGCCTTCACAGAGCCGTTAGTCACTTTCCAAGGAGAGGCTGAAAACAAAGTAAAAGTTGCCTCACCAAAAAGTCCCACAGCTGCACTGAATGAAAGCCTGGTGGAATGTCCCAAGTGCAATATCCAGTATCCAGCCACTGAACATCGAGACCTACTAGTCCATGTCGAATATTGTTCAAAGTAGCAATATAATTGTCCTTTGTCTTGTGTCAAAAGATTTAATACTGTATTTTATATTAGTAGATATTTTGAATTCTTTATTTCACCTCATATGAGAAACTGCCTATCTACCTTTGAGACTCCGGCATAGAAGTGAATCACTGTATTTTTTCGCTGCTTTGCACTTCCCTTGGCATTGATACCTCCATGAGATGGTGCATCTTCAGGCTTCAGCGACAGAATGTGTGAGCAGCGTGTGCCGACAGGACTTCCATTTTGCACTGTTGAAGTACTTGATGGGGAAAAGATAAGTTCAGGTTGTTATTGTTTGTGGGTTAAATCTATGACACCAGCAAGCAAATATTTTGTGTTTTGTGGGTTTTTAAAAATCATAGGTAATTAACCGAGTATCTTACTGTCTGAGCATATTTTTTTATCCAAGCACTTGGTATACCTACAATATACCTACAATTGAGTCCATCGTTAAAAGATGGTGATTTT